AGTAGGGGTTATTCATGAATTTGCTATTTCTAATCATTAGCCAGGCATACAGGTCAATGACATTGTTCTATTTGATATACTGTATTATCATTCCATTGATTTGATGCCAGTGGTCTTGTTTTCGGGACTGGTCATTTATCATTTGGCTCTGACATGTCAATTGTGGGGACCAAAAGGTTCAATGACCAGGACCAGATAATGAATAAGAAGAAATTGTATGGGAACCGAAAGGATGTGGTTAGAAAGGAATGTTGATCTAATGCTGGGAAGTTTCTTGATTAGTATGCTTTGAGAAGAGGGAAAGCAGTTATCGCTTGGACGCCTAAGTGCGAATAACTCCAACCAAATGGGACTATGTATGGAACGTCACTTTTTCATGTAAATTACTTTCCATGCTTGACCTCGATATCTTGGAAAAGGCCAGATTTCCGTCCACAGATCTCCAGTTAAGAGGACCTATACTGTATTATAAATACATACCAGTCCTGAACTTGGGATACATATCATGAGATGATGTGATTGTCAACAAACTTCGATATATGAATGTTAATTCCACCACGTTTTCCTTGCTTTCGTATTTTTTCATTACTGACGAAATATTTACTGGCAAAATGAACAATGCTACAGTATTTGGTAAACTCGTAGGAAGGAGACAGATGACTGGAAGCATTAAGTAATGAACATTTGTTACATAGTGAAAGAACATCGGTTTTGGATTATGAATTTTGGAATACACCACAAGGAACGCAGGGATCGGGTAATTACCCAGGCAACAAGTGGAGCGAAAGGCAGGTGTACCAAACAGTTCCGGTATCAAGACGTAACAGGAAACGGTGCGATGTAAGGCACTTATGGGCGAATACCAGTAAACAACACTATCCAGTGTTAATAACGGCGGAGTACAGCAATAAAGATTAATTAACATTATTGTTTTTACGGTGGCTGTTTAGCATCGACATGTCAACCAGGCGAACAAGTGCTATGGATAATGAACTACAACAACTCTTTTTAACAATATTTTCGATTTACGTTTGAAACGCGGACATTGAACAACCACTAACTCTTTTCAACTCTATTTTTGATTTACTTTTGATTAACTGTGTGGACAATGAACTGAAACGTACTTTTACATTTACTATGACTTTGATTTTTCTGAACAGTATAGATTATGACTAGAAAATGAGCATGAAGTATGTATGTACGTATATATATTGGAGGTAACTTGAGCACGGACCTCGCCGAAAGATACGATCTTTCACTTTAAAGAAAGGGGGATATGTGACGTAGCATGGGATGTATTCCATGGTTCAGTAGGGGTTATTCATGAATTTTCTATTTCTAATCATTAGCCAGGCATACAGGTCAATGGCATTGTTCTATTTGATATACTGTATTATCATTCCATTGATTTGATGCCAGTGGTCTTGTTTTCGGGACTGGTAATTTATTATTTGGCTCTGACATGTCAATTGTGGGGACCAAAAGGTTCAATGACCAGGACCAGTTAATGAATAAGAAGAAATTGTATGGGAACCGAAAGGATGTGGTTAGAAAGGAATGTAGATCTAATGCTGGGAAGTTTCTTGATTAGTATGCTTTGAGAAGAGGGAAAGCAGTTATCATTTGGACACCTAAGTGCGAATAACTCCAACCAAGTGGGACTTAGGTTGTAATCATATGTGTACACAGAAATAACAGCCAAGTGGGACTTGGGCTTTGCTTTACGTTATATGAATTTTACTACATTTTTGAAGATTAAATAGCATAGAACATTTGGCTACCGTGTACGTTTATATCATTCTGTTTGCTTCCGGACCGGACTATTGGACTTCGTCACAGACCCATAAAAAATCACTCTCGAACTTGGTTCGCGACCCATGGGTTACAGTACCGACCGCAGCGTTAAAATATAAAGGTCTGGTCACACTTTTTCTTAATTTCTCAAAAAATTTCCAACAATTAAGATCAATTATCGAGCAGAATGTCATAAATTGTTGTTTAGATATTAATAATTAGTATTTACAATTCAATTTGGTTAATAAAATCACACCAATTGAAATATTTGTTATTGGTAATACCAAAAAAAAAAAAAAATTACTCTTAAATGTGCGTGTGTGTGGGGAAAAGTCCGACATGCAATTAATGGCGGACAAAGATAATTATAAAAAATTAACTTTTAAAAGGACTAGTTCATAGGGCTGCAATGATAAATCGAAGTTTGGTGTATTGCAATACACACTTAACAGTTTGACATAATATACGGACAAGCCAAGAAAAACGATTTCATTTCATTTATTTCGTCCAAAAAGCATTAAGATTGACAAACACAAGATAACAGAGAGCAAAAAACTTAAGTGAACTGAATCACTGTCTAGTGGTTCCCTGATGCCAATGAGAACATAAATTAAATTAAATTAGCGTAAAATATTTAAGTTAAATAGGCCAATCAATAAAATTTAAATTAAAAAATATATATGTAGAAAACATCAGTGAAATCGGTCAAAATACAATAAAATTTGATAAAGAATTGCAGCAAAAAACAAAAGTTTAAAAGTTCGTTATACAACGGTAAAAATCGAGACGAAAAATTAAAACACAATTATTGCTTAGCATAAAATTGTTTTAAAATTTTGATAAAAGATAAAAGAATTCCAAAAACAAGTTCATCTCGAACATCAGCGGGAAGTTTATTCCAAACTCTCGGAAAGTTATTAAAAACGTGAAATTTAAAACTATTAGTACGCGAGTAAGTGTGAATAAATTTAAGATGGTCAGTGTGTCTAGTATTAAAATGAATAAAATCTTGTCGAGGAATTGAGAATGAACTATAAAGACATTTTGCAACAAAAGCCAAGCAGGTATATTCAAAACGGTTTTCAACAGATGTTAATCGTGTGATAACAAGACGTTGCGTGTATTGGATATCACGAGAGGCTCTGCGTTGAATTGCTTCAGGAGAAGTAATATGACCTCTTTGGTGCGCAGACCAAGTAAGTACACCATATTCAATTATCAATTATTGGACGGACTAATCCGTTGTACAATTTTGATAAAATATATGGGTCCAGTAGCAGACTAGACTAAAAATAAAGCCAAGTATCCTAGAGGCTTTGGATTTAGTGTTTGAAAAGTGCAAACCCAAATCAAGTTTTGATGTAAAAGTTACACCTAGATGTTTATAACTAGTTACGTTTGTAAGGTATGTTTGTCAAATTTGATATGCATGAGGAGAGTTAGCAAGTCTATTCGACCTGGTGATTCTCATTGTTTTGCATTTAGTGGAGTTAAGTTCCATTTTGTTCATCAAGCTTCAGTTATAAATAATATCCAGGTCTTGCTGGAGTATTGCATTACAATTGGTGTTTCTTATATTTCTATATATAACATCTGCATGTGTAAATATTGGAAGAAACAACCACTGGTAGGTCAAGAACAAATGAAATTTATAAGGTATGACCTAGGACAAAGCCCTGGGGCACACCTGAAAGAACAGGACATGACCGAGATGATTTGCCTCTAAAATCTACATTTTGAAACCTGTTGCTTAGATACGACATAAACCAGCGTAATACAGAAGCACAGATTTAAGTTTGTTACGACATTTTTTGTAGGCATACCAAGTATTTAAGTTGTCTTTAGTTTTCACTGCCTTGTATAATCTGTTTAATCTATGGCTGTTTTGCTTTCTTTTTTGCTCTCCTAGTGGGAACGACTTTGTAAATCGCATCAAGAAATTTTTCTTTGAAATGCTTCCATGAGGTATCAACGTTGATGGAAACAAAACATTCATCCCAGTTAAAATTAGAAAAAGTGTTGATAAAATCAACTGTGTAGAAATTGTTAAATATTGAAGGAAATGTCCTGGAGGAAGAGAACTAATACAGTAAGAACATGCAAGTGCAACAGAAAAAACTTCATGGTCACTACCTGAAATTCCAGGGTGTGGTGAAATATGTTTTTACAATGCTGATTTCATTTGTATAAAAGATGATCAATTATCGTTCCAACACTTGTAATGTCATTGGAACGTCTAGTCACAAAAGAGAACATTTGCGTTAAGTTCAAAGTATTGCACATTTCAGTTGATTAAAATGATTGTTCGGTACATTGCATTTATAAGAAATATTAAAATCACCTGCAAAAATAATAGATTTATACGTAAATGAATATCTTAAAATTGTATCAAAAGATTCCTGAAGTTTATCAAAGAAAAAAATGTTGGCGCTTGGAGGCCGACACAAGCAACCAATAAGGAGTTTTCCGTGTTTGGTGTGCACAACAGTACAAAAAAATTCAAGATCATCAACATGGAACTGTTCAGCAGATAATTTGTTGTAATTAGCACCCCACCTCCATGTCGGTTTCGATCTTGCGAAACACTGTGTAATCATATGGAAAAAGCTCGGAACTATCTACGGATGAGTCAAGCTATGTTTCTGTGATGAGAAGTAGAGATGGTTCTTCAGTAGAAACCACGGTTTCTAGATGATCACGTTTATTAACTATGCTTCGAGCATTGAAATAGAGTAATTTAGCCATAGTGCAACGAAAAGGTGTTGGTCCAGAAATGGAATGGATGTGTCCAAATGCGGATGAAAACTTTAAGTTATATGGAACATAATTTTGGTATAATGACAACAGAATTAAAAATGTAACAGTACTAGCAAAAGAATATTAGTGCACAAACGTTTGTCGGTACTTGTTTTTGTAAGCAAAAGTGAATGATCACGTCACGTGATCCGTGGAGTTAAATATACTTAGATCACGATGAAAAAATAATGTTCTATATCTTGAAAAAGACAAGTCATCATCAAATCCACGATTTGCCCTTGGAAAAAATCAGTGACTGCCAACTGTTTTAACACCTTTGAAAACACTCGATAGTGATTGGTTGGTTGTCCAGGTTTACTGCATTGCTTTCCACCAATCAACAGCAAGCTTCACTTTCCAATCATATAAGTATTTCCTTGTTTGGACTGCGGATACTATTTTCCTGACGATTGAAGCATAAACATCGAGACATTCTCAACAACAGTTCTCTTCAGAACGATCTACCTGGTGAACTGCAAGAATTTAACGATAACTTTAGGAACAATTAGCAAGTTAAGGTCGGAAGAACAGAGGAAGGCTAAGAAGACATATTATTTAGGAAAGAGATCAAATAGGTAAGTGGGCTGTTGGAGTCATAGTGTTTTAAAGGGCAAGTGCGGGTTTAAAATAAGTCGTCATATATTGCTTATTTAACCTTTTTTGAGTTCGGAAAAAATACAAAAAAAATTCAAAAACGTTAGATGTAACGACAATTACGGAAACAAAACATGATATGATGAGAAAACAAAATCAGGTGAAAACGAGGCTGATCACTTATTTCAGTAGCTTGGTAGCAACTTTCTAACCAACTCATTAATATTCATGAGCAGTCTGTCAATTTTGGCGAGCAGCTGATCGAGGAATCGTCCCGACGATGATCGAGCGAGTAGCCTCGACAATTACATACATACGGTTAGTGAGAAGTCGCGAGTTTTTGTGATCGTTTACGTACGCAGTAATAGAGAGAAGGTTTAGTCGTCGTCAGTTCAATCACGGAGGAATAATTCAATTGAATTAATATCAGTTTGTTGATAGTTAGGCCTACACCTATGGCTATGGCTATGCCTAGGATTAACACAGTCAATATCTACCCAGCACCAGCACTCCCGTCCCGCTCGCAACAGGTGAGTTCTCACGTAGCCTATCCAGTTGAAGCTGACGGTAAAGTTATTACCGTAGGTTTCTACTAGACTACTACTACTTATATTAATAGGCCTAGCTAGTCTGACCATAGAGATATGGTCGGACTAGGCCGGACTGTCACAATAGGCCCTATTTAAAAAGGCTGGGTAAATGCATAGAATATCGTTGTATAGGCCCTAGACTTTTCATGCCATGGCGACATTGTCACATTGTGCAAGTGCATTTTTTTTATTTCATAGAAAAATAGGCCTTCCTAGGTAGGCCTACTACTAAATAACTAGGCAGGCCTGGTCCTATGATACTAAATAATACGACTAGGCAGGCCTGGTCCTATGAAAAACTGTCTAGGCCTAAATGTTAAAACTGCACTGTCTAAATAATGGTGATATGTGCTATATAATACTTTTTTTTGTAGGACTACAATATAGGTGATAGGCATACATGACACCCTGGTCACATGGTATTCGACAATTCCCATGATGAGACAGAAATACCCCAACATTTGCCATTAGTGCAACCACCCAACCTGTACCCAAAACTGGCATCTAGTGAAACATGTACAAAAGATGGTGGTACAAAGCATACAAGCACCCAGCAAGACCTTGGAAAGAAACACCTGTCTCTTATACACATCTAGATGTGTATAAGAGACAGGTCATATATTGCTTATTTCTTTTGTTTTATCTTAATAGGAAGTTCCTTAAGATAGTATATAAACAATTAATTTATGTTTATATATAAATCTATGTCATGAATATTCATGAGGTACATTTATGATTGATTGGTTATCAATGATTTGTATATTTCTTATATGATGAGACTATTAGTTTAGTACTTGATTTGATCATTTGTGTTAAGGCAGATGTGAAGACAAGGTGGGGATTAATATTGAAATATATAATGCACGAAATTTATAATACAGTATGAAAATGTGGCTGAATATATACAGGAACAACTATTTTAATGTATGGCTTTCTACAGTCTGGTGTAAAGTTAGTCTATGAATTTGGTTATTTTGTAATGGCTGGATAATGCCTAAGTCTGCATGCTTTTAAACATTCGCTGATCAATTTGGTATTGCAATTTAAAAGAAAACTTCGATTTTGTTGTTGTACACCATTTTTTGTTTAGTATTTTGAAATATTTATATAGTTGAACTTGCCTATGTCGTATCCAAAATGCCATTGAGAAATTGTTTGACTTTAACCAAATTGACTTGCACTTACAGTATGGAAAACAACAATTCGGCATGTAAAATTAGATTGACTTAGAAGTTATGGCAAAGTCGTCTTAGGCAAGTTTAACTGATTTATTTATCATGTTTGATTGCCTTTTATTATTTACCATAGCCAAGATTTCTTCTTTCATGATGATTTTCAACATCAATGATATTTTTGGTGCTTTACTTGGTTATTGATTATTAGTGTACATAAATTCAAAAGTACTGGTGTTACTAAATAAATATTTTTTAAACACAATTTATCATCCTTGTACTGTATATGGCAAATAATTTATTACAATTGTATTTTCTCAGTTAATATAAAATTGTTTCACTGTACACAGAACAAAACACTGAAGCAGTCAGGTATTAAGATATATCACTGCATTTAACACACACTATTTATTATCAAAATATTAAATGTATCAATTTACAGTTAGTTTTACACCAATGTTAAGAATATGATAGAACAAGTTAAATTTATTTACTGTACACAAACCACAGAGCTCCAAATTTTAAAATATGAGACGCGAGTGGGGAAGACACAAGAATATTGCATTTGGAACATACTGTACTTAACAACAAAATGTTCGTGAAATCAATTTGGCTGGCTTATTCGCATCTGGCCTATCCACATCAATAGCAACAATTTCTATTACAGACTAGGCCTGGAAGGTTACACACAATTGGCTGGTGTAGTTATAGAAACTGTAGGCCTATTCTGACAAAATTTCCTTTCTTACCATGAGTGATGAGATATTGCAAGCATTTTTATCAATGATTCCTCTATCTGTATCATCATGTACAAACACCAGAAGGCTGGTTGTCGCGTACGTCGGTCAGGTTGAGGTGTGTAACAATTAAATATTGTAATGAGCTTTTAGTCGTTAATTTATGAATATTAATGAGTCCAAAACAGCTTTAAATTATTTTATATTAGGTGACATCTGAATATTCTCACTCAAGCAATTCCTGTATCTATAGCATCAAAATACCCAGGGTAGTCTTCACAGTCCCTAATCGAGCACAGAGTGCAAGATGGGATGACCCTTCTGTCCTTTTTTAGCCTGTTACACCTACCAAATGAATCCATCGATATCCAACATGTCAGCATTTCCTATTAGAGAAATTCAATAAGAAAGTTAAAACAGACCAGTTAAAAAATTTAGAGTGACTATTCTTACACCATTCAAAAACAAGTAGAATTGATATTACAATATCTTTATAATATCAGGAAATAGTCCTGGCACTAATCATCAATGATAATTTTTATTGAAAATATATATTAATTAACCATCACTGTGAAAAGCCCATATCCAAATGCATTGCAAAGTTGTATAACAATAGCCACTGCCTAAAATATTATTCTGAATAGAATTAACTATTTCATTAATATAGAACTTTTTTATAAATAATATAAAAATAAAAATTTGTTAAAAAGTTACAGATGAAGACAATTATAATTTAAACATGTATAGCACATATGTATAATAGGCTATTTTGTTTCTCAATCATTTTTAATGTAAAGTACAGTACTGTAATAATAATTCCCCTGTATTTTGACCATCAAAATGGCTGGACATTTGACCCTCTACTAGTTATTGATCCAGCATGGAAGAACAAGCAGGGTCACGCCTAGGCCAGGTGGTTGTAACTCAGACTCGAGTGTGTGCAGGCAATTTATCCTCCTCGGAAAATAAAGGCCGATTTCCGAGCAGCATTTGTCGAAAATTAGTTTGGAACTAATCTGAATATATAACCAAAAACAATGTATCATACAGAAGTTCTGTGCACCATTTTCCTAGCCATTTTCTGCGCAAATTTGAGCTAGATTTTGAGGTATCATCATCCACATTCCACGACGAATAAACTGGCATTTTAATAGAACCAGCCTGGCCTAACTAGCCAGGCCTAGGCTGCCTTCGAATAGATAGTTCCATGGATCAATCATTAACATGTAAATTACTGTACTTTATTCAAAATAGTGTTGTTCGTCTAATGTTTGAAATTATAGTTTTTATGACTAAATTAGGGGTCTAGGCCTAGGCCTACATCGCGCCAGGCAGTAGAGTAGCATTCCGTATTCTATACATGATACAGTACTGCATACAGTATATGCTAGGCTATGCCTAACCTACACAGGTAAGACAAGTTGGTAACAAACCTATTTAACGCCATTTCTAAGACCACTACTTCCAAGACTTCCATATTCCAACCGGCAAACGTATTTGTTTGGAAGATTCATTCTTCAAAAATGCAATCGACTTATTATATTATTATTATTATTAAATGTTTTCGCCAATCCCGATTTTTCAATTTTCCGCTCGCGACGACCATTCTCATCATCAGTTGGCTGTGTTAAAATCTCGTTACGGTTGAGTGAATCAGCTGACTCCCTGTCTAGTGCAAAATTCACGAAACAAAAACTGGGACAAACTGTTATTTTACACATAATTGAGACATTTTCATAAGTGAAAACCCATATAAATGAAAAGAACGGCCAAATTTACGTTGGAATATCTAAAGATTGACACGATTTTGTTATGGGGTTACCGAATGCAAGCATTTGAAGTCGGTCCATTTTAGTAAATTCCCTATCTTTTAACACTAGCTCAAAATCCTGTAGCACCACTTCGTTTTTTGGACCCAGTTCACGAGCCTCGTTTTCGAATACCGCGCTCCAAAATCAAATGACATCACGTTTTTTGTGGTCCCCCATCCCTCTATTTTATATTAAACATTAATTATTTCAAACCCGCACTTGGCCTTTAAATGTTAGTAGGATGATTTTATACTTTATTCGTGAGTTAGTGGGAAGCCAATCCAAATTAGGTATAATGGGAGATATGTGCGATGGTGGACCCAAAATTTAGTTTTGGGTTTTGACAAACAAGCTTAACAGAAAAAAAATATTAGTCCTTAATCATGTGAAGAAAAATAAATCTGACCTTTATTAATTTATAAAAAAAAATAATCTTGACTGAAATTATCTAATGGCATAAAGTTTTTTAACTATTCTAATTACCTGTTTATTGATTAAATGTGATTTTTTTCCGAAGCACCCCATTACATTAAAACTCTCTATCTGAATCTTTGTTACAGCTTTGCAGTATACTGATAGTCATTATACAATGTTGTTATTATTATTTATTATTATTATTATTATTATTATTATTATTATTATTATTATTATTATTATTATTATTATTAACA